ACCTGTGTCATGCAATGCCATGGAGGTCAGAAGAGGGCTTCAGATTTCCCTGGAACTGGAGTTAAGGACCGTTCGTAGCCACCATGTGGGTGCTGGGACTCGAACCTGGGCCCTCTGCAAGAGCACTCAGTGCTCTTAACCACTGAGCCCTCTGTCCAGCCCCCTCTTTTGAGATAGGGTCTGGCTCGGTTCTCAAACTCAGGATCCTCCTGCCTCAGCCTCGCAAATACTGTAACTATAGGCCTGTGCTACCATGCATAGCTGAAAACAGACTGGTACTGCAGCAGTCTCCTAGCAATGAATTCCTTTCTGTCAGTTTACACATTAATATTTTTGGTTGGTTGGTTGGTTGTCTTTTTTGAAACATGGTCTCACTATAGTCCCAGCTCGCCTGGAACTCACTATGTCGACCATACTGGACTTGATTGCAGAGATCCACCTCCCTCTGCCTCCAGAGTGCTAGTATTAAAAGCTTATGCCACCACTCCCACTCCCAGTTTTGTACTAATCTTTTAGGAAGAGCAAAACTGGGTTTAAACAGAGGTTGTTTTCCTTTTTTACGAGATAGTCTTCCTATATAGCCCTGGCTAGCCTAGAACTTACTATATAGATCAGGCTGGCCTTATACCTGCAGCAGTCATGTCCCTGCCTTCTGAAGTGCTGGGATTGTGGGGATTGCTACTTCACGAGGGGTGAGATTGTTTTCTTAAGTGAGTACTGTTTTTTGTTTTGTTTTGTTTTGTTTTGTTTTTTTCTTTTTGAGACAAATCTCCCTGTAGCCCCAGGTGGCCTGGAACTCGCTATGTAGACCAGGCTGGTCTCGAACTTACAGAGCTCTGCTTGCCTCTGCCTCCTGAGTGCTGGGATTAAAGGTGTGGGCCACCACGTCCAGCATTACTGGGTTTTGAGACCTATGTTAGATGTGGAAACTGTCCATTCTCAAGTTTGAATATCCCTGTTCATTGTTAGAAAGTTTTGCTTATTGGCCAGTTAATCTCTTAGTATTTTTCTTTGTGTGTGAGTGTGAGTGTGTGTGTGTATGTGTGTGTATGTACAAGATTGCAAGTGTCTGCATGCCTGGGTGAATGTACTTGTGCATTTGTGTGTAGGTGTGGATGTACTGTCTATGTGTGTGGTGGCCAGAGATCAGTATTAGGTTTCTTCCTCAATCATTCTCCACTTAATTTTTTGAGCCAGCATATCTATCTCATTGAACCTGGTGTTCACTGATTTGGTGAAGCTGACTGGCAAGCTGACTAGTAGTTTCAGGGATCCACTTATTTCTGCCTCCCCGGTGTTACTTGCATCTGTTTTTTTTTTTTTTTTGTCTTTTTGAGACAGGGTCTCCCTGTAGCCCAAACTGTCCTGGAACTTGCTATGTAGACCAGGCTGGCCTCGAACTCACAGAGATCCGCCTGCCTCTGTCTCCTGAGTGCTAGGATTAAAGGCGTGTGCCACCATGCCTAGCTTTTGCCATGTGGGTGCTGGGATTTGAACCTGGCTCTTCTGTAAGAACAGTCAGTGTTCTTAACCACTGAGCCATCTCTCCAGCCCGCATCTGTGTTTTTTTTTTTTTTTTTTTATATGTTGGAGCTGGGGATCTGAACTCAGGTCCTCATACTTGCACAGCAAGCACTTTACTGACTAAGCCATTTCTTCAGCCCCTAATTATTTTCTCTGGGGTTGAATCCAATGCAGGGCCTCTCACATGTGAGGCAGACACTCTTTCTTACTAGTGAACTATACCTATAACTCAAATTAATGTTAATTTTGAAAAATTTATAACAGTATGAAATTATAGTGGCATCGGATGGTGACATTTTCACACTAGCATTTATTAATAAACCTTATTTTTTTCTAATCTAGGAATCAGCGATGGTCCTTCAGTCACTGCATTAACAAATGGTTTTGACACCCCAGAAGAGAGGTACCAGAAGCTTAAAAAGGCAAGTGAATGTACTCAAAAGTCTTTTTCTTAGGCTGGGAGGTTGCCTTCAATCCCAGCCCCCAGGAGCCAGAGGCAGGAAGATCTCTGTGAAATAGAGGCTAGTGTGGTCCACATAGTGATGCCTGGGACTACGGAGACTCTGGAAAAAAAAAAAGTCTTTTTCTTTCTCATGTGGATCCCATTTCCACTGAGTTACAGAGAGATAAAATCATTAAAATTACATGTTAATGTTTTCGAAGTGTAGTGCTTCTCTGCTTCAGCCACAAAACATTTTAGTGATGTTTAAAACAGCAGCAAAAGGGGCTGGAGAGATGGCTCAGTGGTTAAGAACACTGACTGTTCTTGCAGAAGACCCAGGTTCGAATCCCAGCACCCACATGGCAGCTAACATCTGTCTGTAACTCCAGTTCCAGGGGATCTGATGGCCTCTCTGTCTTGCGTGGGCAGTGTATGACATGGGTGCACTTTCCTACATGCAGGCAGTATACACATACACATAAAATAAAATAAATAAACAAATAAAATATTTAAAAAAAACAGCAGTAAAAATAATCATTTGCTAGAAAGCATTCTGGGGAAGGCTTATGCTTGATAGTAATTTGATTTGTAGGAAATAAATATGTTGTGGCTGTTTCAGTATTTGGAAATAGACCTAATATGATGCTCAGGGATGATGGATAAGTTCTTAATTGGGAAAACAATTAAGAGATGTATATAAATAAACAGTGCTTCTGATACATAGCCTGCATAATCTGTTCCAATCAGAAGTGTTTCGCCAAAGTCAAGTTGATTTGATGTTTAATTTCCCTTCCAGCATTCCATGGACTTTTTGCTGTTTCAGTTTGGCCTCTGCGCTTTTAAGTATGACCACACAGATTCAAAGTAGGTTTTAACAAGTGGTGGGAATTCTTAAGTTGTAGCCTAATGTTACTCTCTAAGTCACCTTTTCTCTTATTTTCCCAGGTATATAACGAAGTCATTTAACTTCTATGTTTTCCCCAAGCCCTTCAGTAGATCCTCACCAGACGTCAAGTTTGTTTGCCAGGTTAGTAGCATGAGTGGATTTTTTCTTTTATGGCTTGCTAGTGGGGCACAGTAGAAATGTAGAATCTGAATTCCTTTTTACGATTTTGTTTTAGGGACTGGGCTTGTAGCTCAGCTGACAGAGTGCTTGTCTTCCATGTACGAGGCCCTGGGTTTTATCTTCAGCACCATATAAACTGCGTATGGTAGTACATGCCTGTAATCCCAGCACTTAGGAGGTGGAGGTAGGAGGCTCATTCAGGTCATCCTTGGCTACATAGTCAGTTTGAGGCCAGCCTAGGCTACATGAGACTCTGTCTTTTAAAAAAAAGATTTAGGCTTTGGGCAAATTATCTTACCTCTCTGACCTCCAGTTTTAGGTTTGGGAAATTAATGACAGTTTTTATCTCCCCTTTTACTTCAGAATGCTGCAAGAAATAGGATACAGAGACAGGCAGATGGAAATTAGAGGGCGAACTTTATTAATAAAGCTAAATTTGGGATCGTGACATTTGAGTGGGACTCCATTTGGAACTTGTAATGTCTTCCCTGGAATTGCATCCTACATCAGGACTTGCTTCTCCCTACCTCATAATCTTTGTACCTGCCCCAAGGGCAGAGCTTTATTTTTCTGGACAAGCCAAACTACTTGAACTCAGGTCCTTTCCCCAAGTACCCATCAGGAAAGAGAAGGCAGAAAGGACTGAATTTTTCTCTTGAGGAAGGGTCTTATGGGCAAGAGAACCTGGGAGGCTCTCCTTAGACTCTTGTGGTAACTGACTGGGGAGACACAGGATACCTTTTAGTTTCTACCTGCTTGATTATTGTCATGGATAAGGAGAATGTGAATAAGTGGTTGGAATCTGTGAATGGAAGGGAAGTGCTGCCTCTTCTCCCTTGTAATCCTGGTTGAGCTTTTCTCCCCATAGTAATGTGAGTTCATTTGAATTTTGCTCTTTTTCTTCTCTGCCATAGAAGTGGTAATGCAGTTGTGAAAATCCAGAGGACAGACTTCTGAGCACTTTCTGTATCAAATAAGGCAAGATAGGGACTGGGGATGTAGCTCAGTTGGTAGACTGCTTGCCTAGTATATACAAGTCCCTGGGTTTGATTCTCAGCACTGCATAAACTGAGCATGGTAGTACATGACTGTAATCCTAACACCAGGGAGGTAGAGCAGGGCCATCTTTAGCTACATAGCAAATTTGAGGCCAGTCTGGGTTACGTGAGACTACTTCAAAACAAACACAAAAAAACAAACCATTAAAAAAAATGATCAAGGGGCTAGAAATATGGCTCGGTAGTTAGGAGTATTTGCTGCTTTTGCAGAGGACCCAAGTTTAGTTCCCAACACCCACATGGTAGTTCACAACCATCTGTGACTCCAGTTATAAGGCATCCATCCAGTGCCTTTTTCTGATCTCCACAAGATACCAGGCAGGCAAAACACTGCTACACATAAAATAAAAATAAATTGACTTGCCAGGCTTGGTGGCGCACGCCTTTAATCCCAGCACCCTTTTTAGCAGGGTAGAATTGTGTTTATAGTTTTCAGTTCTTCCTGTAGTCTCTCTGTAAATTAGCAACAGGACAATAATTGGAATTAATTGCTAAAATATCCCTCACTAAATTATAGGCAAAAAGCTAGGCGTGGTGGTGTACACCTGTAGTCCCAGCAGCAGGCGGATCTCTGTGAGTTCAAGGCCAGCCTGGGCCACATAGTGAGTTCCAGGCCAGCTGGGGCTACAGGGAGACCCTGTCTCTAAAAGACCAAAAAAAAAAAAAAAAATTCTTTTAGGGGTTGGGGATTTAGCTCAGTGGTAGAGCGCTTGCCTAGCAAACGCAAGGTCCTGGGTTTGGTCCTCAGCTCTGGGAAAAAAAAAAAAAGAAAAAAAGAAATCTTTTAAAAAATGAAAAAACATCCATGTGTGGTGCTGCATGCCTTTAATCCTAGCACTTGGGAGGTAGAGGCAGGTGGATCCTGTGAGAAGGAGGCCAGTCTGGTATACAAATCCAGTTCTAGTTCCAGGCCAACTTGGGCTACAGGGAGACCCTGTCGCAAAAGAAGAGTAAAAAAAGAAAAAAGAAAACAAAAACCCTCCAGAAGTTTAACTGGGTAAGTAGTGGCACATGCCTTTAATCCCAGCACTCCAGAGACTTGCAGAACTCTGTGACTTTGAGGCCAACTTGGTCTATAAAATTCCAGATCAGCCAAGGCTACATAGTAAGATGAGACCCTGTCTCCAAAAAAAAAAAAAAAAAATACTGAACAGACGTTTAGATAACTAGGCATGGTATTATATACCTGTAATCCCAGAGCTTTATGTTTTCTCTTGTTTTGTTTAAAAGTCTACGACTGCAGGGTCTAGAGAGATGGAGGAATGGGGGATCTGAATTCTGATCCCTCGAACCCACAGGCATGGCTACCAATGGTTGACTGTACCCCTAGTGCTGGGGGTAAAGACAGGAGGATCTTGGGGGTTGCTTTCAGCCAGCATAGCTGAAAAGGTTCAGTGAGAGACACTGTCTCAAAAAATAAGGTGGAGTCTCTGTGAGTTCAGTTCGAGGCCAGCCTGGTCTACATTAGCGTGTTCCAGGCCAGCTGGGGCTATAGGGAGACCCTGTATCAAAAAGACAAAAAAAAAAAAAAAAAGGTGGAAAATGAGAGAGGAAAACACTTGGTGTTGACTTCTGGCCTCCACATATGCCTGTGTGGGTGAGTTGAGTTACAACCATGTATACACACATGCATCCATCAGCACCCCCCCAAACACAAAGGTAGAGAGTAGTAGAAAGATACCTGATGTTGACCTCTGATTCATTCACTCCCGGATACACATAAGCACATGTATCCACATTCAGATACTCATCCCCCCGCAACACACAAATACACACTAAGGTAGAAAGTTTTAGGAAGATGCCTGGCGTTGATTTCTCATACCCCCACAGACACACATGGGCATGTGCACCCATACCTACTTATTCATATTCCACAGACACAGAGGTGTGCTTGCAGGCACGCAGGCACAGAAGTTGACTGTTGCAAAACTGATGCTACAAATGAGTTAGGAGCTAGGGTCAGTGAGTAGATTAAAATGATATAAATTACTCTCAAAGAGCCTTTCACAACCTTAAATCATAGAGAACTTGAAGGTAACACCACATACTGTGTCCTTGAAAAATAAATGTGTGTACATAACTGAGATGTTAGGCAAGATATGGTGGAATGGACCAATGGAACCCTGTATAATTCCAGGAAATGTGTGGTGGAGTGGAATAACAGACAGAATTGCAGAATGGTGTTTATACGCTTTTCCTCTCCCCATCCTCACCCCACTTTTCTCTATTTCTCTTGATTTTTTTCTTTGATACATGGTCTCTTATAGTCTAGGCTGGCTTTGAACTTGCTATATAACCAAGGATGACCTTGAACTTTTGATCCTCTTACTAGGTATATACCAGCACACCAATTTATGACATCACATTCAAGGCCTCATGCATTCTAGGCCAGTGCTCTGATGACTGAACTACATCCCCAGCCCTCCTCTTTCCCTCCCCTCCCCTTCTCTCTTCCCTTCTCTCCTTTCCTCTCCCCTCCCCTCCCTTTCCTTCCTTCCTTTCAAGGCAGGGCCTTATTCTGTGGCCTAGGCTGGCTTCCAGCTCATTTTGTAGCCCAGGCTGGGTTACAGTGAGAATGGGTTGGAGTGAGAATGTTCCCCCATAGGCTTCAAGTATTTGGACATTTTGTCCCAGGTTGGTGGTGCTGTTTTGGGAGGTCTTCGAAGGTGTGGCCATGCTGGAGGAAGGAAGTCACTGGGGGCGGGCTTAGAGAGTTCTTAAGCCTTGCCAGATCTCCAGTCTCTCTTTTATTCCCTGTGGCTGCTTGAGATGTGAATGCTCTGCTTTCTGCTCCTGCCCCAGCCACTTCCTGCCACCATGCCTCCCTTCTATGACAGACTGTAATTCCCCTGGAACTATAAACTCAAACTCTTCCTTCTGTAGTTGCTTTGGTCAGTGTTTCTATCACAGCAACAGAAAAGTAACTAATACACTGGGCAGTCCTCTTGCTTCATCTTCCCAAGTGCTGAGATTACAGGCATGAGTCACCATACCCACTGTCCCCCTCCTTTTCTTTGCCTTCCCCTTTTTCTGACTGAATGTCTGTATCTGAATTCATGGAAGGTAATCCATAGTTGGAAATTTTTAAATTATTATTGCTGTATTATTGCTATATGTGGGGTTAATAGAAAGTTCTTTTCCTTTTTTAAAAAAATATTTTATTTATTATTTTTATTTTATGTGTATGAGTGTATTGCCTCCATGTGTATAAGTGCACCCATGTTGTACAATGCCCACAGAGGTCAGAAGAGGGCATCAGATTCTCCTGGAACTGGAGGTATAGACCATTGTTAGCTGTCATGTGAGTGCTGGGAATCAAATCCAGGTCCTCTGGAAGAGCAGCCAGTGCTCTTAATCACTGAGCCATCTCTCCAGCCCCTTCTTTTTAGATAATTCCTCATGCAGCCTTGAACTTCTAATCTTCCTGCCTCCACTTTCCAAGTGCTGTGCTGGGGTTGCAGGTGTGTTCCATCACACCCAGCAATGGTGTTGATTTAATTGGGAAATAGGTATCTTCTAAGAGGGGATAGTTGAGTCTTTGATTCTGAATTTAACGGGATGAAGGAAAGTATGATGTTTTGGAGTTTGGTACACAGTTTCTCTGACTGAATCTTCATCCTCTATAGGGTAGCTAAATGTGGAGGTCATGAAAAATTTGGCAACAAAAATTTTTTCTGAACATGCATTGACCAAAAGTGAATTAAAAAACTTGTGGCTGGGGATGGTGGCACATACCTTTGATCCCAGCATTTGGGAGGCAGAGGCAGGTGGATCTCTGTGAGTTTGAGACCAACCTGGTCTACAAAGTGAATTCTAGGCCAGTTGGAGCTACATAGTGAGACCCTGTCTCAAAAAAAGGGGTGGGGGGTGGGGGAGGTGTCTGGAGACATGGCTCAGCCCTTAAGAGCACTGACTACTCTTACAGAAGACCCACCTTCAGTTCTGTGCACTCACATGGTACTTTACAACCATCTGTAACTCCAGTTCCAGGGGATTAGATACCCTCTTTCTGGCCTCCTTCAGCAGCAGGTGAATGTGTGGTGTACTTACCATACATGCAGGCAGAACAGTGATACACATAAAATAAACCAACAAAAACAGAGCCATAAAAAAGCCAGGTGTGGTGGTGCATGCCTTTAGTCCCAGCACTCAGGAGGCAGAGGCAGGCAAATTTGTGATCTAGCCAGCTGGGGCTACAGGGAGACCCCGTCTCAAAAAAAACCCAACAAAAACAAAACCAGAAACAAATAAACAAGTGTGTGATTAATCCAAGGTGTTTCTGGCAATGCTCCTTTGTGGTGCATCATGTGACTTCACTTGCCTGCTATACATGATGATAACAAACTCTGCCCACATACTCTGGCTTAGATTTGAGACTACTGTATGCTGTGAATCATAGTGTTTACTGTCCATACAATGTTTTCTGCTCTTATAGAAACAGAATGGCTTAATTATGACAAAGACTTTAAATATTTTCCTACCATCATCTTTAGCATGGATCAAATAAGCATATCGATAGATTTTATTGTGTCAGAATGTTTGACTTCAAAAATGCCTGTTTATGGGGGATGGAGAGATGGCTTAGCGGCTGTTATTGGAGAAGATCCACATTTGAGTCCCAGAACCCCACATGGTGGCTAACAACTATTGTAACTCCAGTTCCAGGGGATCTAAAGCCTTCCTCTGTCCTCTTCTGGCACTGCATGACATGGGTGCACTTACACACGTAGGCAAAACACTCATAAATGTAAAATAAAAATAAATAAATTAAAAAAAAATAAAAATGGCCATTTGTGTTGCTGTCTTGAATTTTATAAAAAATATTAAATGACTTTTGGCTTGGGATTAGGACAGAATTTCCATCAATTTTTGAAGTGTCCTCAAACATAATTTTACATTTTGTACTATGTATTTCTGGGAAGCAGTGTTTTCAACATTGATGATTTTAAAATCAGAATATCATCAGCTGTGAAAAAAGTCAGAGATATTTTAGATCCTGCAGGATTGAATATTCAGCTGTGATTACTTTCTTTTTTAAGCAAGCTATTTATTTAAAAGTTTTTTTGAGCTGGGTGTGGTGGCATGTGCCTTTAATCCTAGCACTCAGAAGGCAGAGAGAGGCAGGTAGATCTCTGTGAGATTGAGGCCACGCTAGTGTACACAGGGAATTTTAGGCCAGCTGGGGCTACAGCGAAACCCTGTCTCAAAAAGACCAAAGAAAAAGTTTTTTTATTCATTTTTATTTTATGTGTATGAGTATTTTGCCTGCATGTATGTAAGTGTACCATATGTGTGCACTGCCTGTTGAGGTCAGACTAAGATAATGGATTCCCTGGAATTGGAGTTACAGACAGTTGTTAGCTGCCATGTGGTGTTGGGAAGTGAACCCAGGTCCTCTGTAAGAGCAGCCAGTACTCTTAACTGCTTAAGTCATTTCTCCCATCCCAAAAGTTATTTTTTAATTGATTTATTGTTTGGGTGTGTGTGTGGGAGCATGTGCATACCACAGTGTGTGTGTGGGGGTGGGGGCTGAGGACAAGTTTTGGGAGTCAGTTTTTCCTTCTACGAGGTGGCCCTGGGGGTTGAACTCAGGTCATTGGTAGTTCTTTCCTCACTGAACTATCTCCTCAGCCCCAAGTTCTTCATGTAAGAATAAACAAGCGCAGGGTGTGGTGGTACACGCCTTTAATCCCAGCACTTGGGAGGCAGAGACAGGCGGATCTTTGTAAAGTTCCAGGACAGCTGGGGCTACAGGGAGACCCTGTCTCAAAAAGACAAAAAAAAAAAAAAAAAAAAAAAAAAAAAAGCACATTAAAATGTAAATTTGCTTTCATCTTTCATAAATGGTAAAATTTTATGTCTTCTGAAGAATTGTCTTAATGTAAATTTCTTTGCGATTTATTAGTCAGTACATGTTTGATTTGTATTCGATTTTGTAGGCCTGTATATTTGGGCTTGTATGATATTTCTTGGGTAAATGGGGTTTCAAGTGGAAAGTTAAATCAGCCTTGGTCTAGTACTAGATAGACAAAAATGCCTATATAAAGTTTCTCTTTTGGTGTGTCTGTTAGAGATTTAGTGTTTATGTGACTGTGTAAACATTTAGGAACACACACACACACACACACAAAATGTTACGCTGGACATGGTGGCGCACGCCTTTAGTCCTAGCACTCTGGAGGCAGAGGCAGGCAGATATCTGTCAGTTCTAGGTTAGCCTGGTTTACATAGCAAGTTCCAGGCCAGCTGGGGCTACAGGGAGACTGACTCAAAAAGATAAAAAAAAAAAAAAAAAAAGAATTTAGGAACACATAAAAATATGAGTAGCTCCAGGTGTGGTGGCGTGGGCCTTTAATTCCAGCCCTCGGGAGGCAGAGGCAGAAGATTGAAGCTACCTTGGTTCACATTGTGACTTCCAGGTGGGCTGTGACTAGAGAGACCCTGTTAAAAAACAACCAACAAAGAGACAAAAAAAAAAAAAAGTATGAGTAGCTACAATATTGTTTCCTTCTTAGTCACCTTGAGTGAGAAGTTCATGATTTGGCCACATTCATGTACAATCTCTAAAATTTTATATTAATTTTTAATAAATGTACTTGTTTATTTCAGCTTATTCTTGGTAGAGATGCATTTGCTTAGTTAAGTTTGCTAACTGGATCTCTTGATCTGGAACATTACGACCATCCAGTTAGTATGAGACCTCGTCTCAAAACCCAAACCCAAACCAAAATAAAACAAAAGAAGACTGCACCCATTAAGATTTTGGGCCTTCAGGCTGGAGAGAGGTTTCAGTGGTGGTTAAGAGCACTGGCTACTCTTGCAGAAGACCCGGGGTTCAATTCCCAGCACCACATGGTGGCTAACAATTGTCTGTAACTCTGATGCCCTCTTCTGACCTCTACAGGCATTGCACAACATGGGTGCACTTAACATATATGCAGGCAATACACGTACACATAAAATAAAAATAATAAAATATTAAAAAAAAAAGATTTTGGCCCTTCATGGCTGAGAAGATGGCTTGGGCAAAGGTGCTTCCCTTATAAGCATGACCACCTGGATTTAATCCCTGATCCCACATAAAGGTGAAAAGCAAAAATCCATTCCACAAAGTTGTCCTCTGACCTCTATATATGTGCCACTACAGTACTCCCCTGTCTCTCTCGCTCACATACACACCCCAATAATAATAACATAAAGATTTGGAGCCTTCAATGTTTGATTTGAGGTAGCTAGTGATGAGTTATATTCTACACATGTGAGCTACCTTAGCCTTTTACTTGAGGTTGTATAAATATACTTTAGTTTTGTTCATAGGCTCTCAGTACAGTACCCAGAGGATAGGAGTCTTCTGCCATTGGAGAAATATCTCTTTACTTTGGATTTTTGGCAAATATTGTAAAACAAGGATGTTTGCTTTATAAGCTATTAAGGAGTAGAGCCCTGGTGTTTTAAGTGAACTACTGGTCATTGTCAGCCACAGGTAGAAACCCTGTCTTCTGACTTTTGGCACGCTTTGTCCTTGCTGTGTTGTCATATTTACTTGTCTGAGTCACTTCTCTGTTTCTGACTTCAACCCTGCCACTAACTTCACGAACATGTCTTATTCCAGAGCTCCAGCATTGACTTCCTAGCGAGCCAAGGATTTGACTTCAATAAAGTTTTTCGCAATGGTAAGAGTCTCTACATGACTTACCTTTAGAGCTGATAAACCTTCATAATGATGTCATTTGGAAAGTAAATCTCATTTTGAGAATTTCCAATTTTTAGACTTTTTTTTTTGAAACCGAGTTTCCCTGTAGTCTTGGCTGGTCTGGAACTCACTACAGACCATGTTGGCCTTGATTTCACAGGTGTCCACCTGCGTCTGCCTCCTGAATGCTGGTATTAAAGGTGTACATCACCTCATCCAGCTTAAGCTACAAGTTTATATCTGAAATTCTTAATTTTTTTATACTCACAGATTTAATGTATAGGTAGTTTTTGATTTCTAGCTCACCAGCCCCGTCTATTATCCTACTTTTCCCTGTCTTTTTGTATTTGTTTAAACTACATAGTTCAGTTTCATTTTGGTTTTTGAGACAGGGTCTCACTATGTAGCTCTGACTGGCCTATAGCTTACTATGTGGATGAGGCTGGCCTTGAACTCAAAAGTGATCCACCTGCTTCTGTCTCACAAATGCTGAGATTAAAGATGTGCACCACCATGCCTGGCTGGTTTCATATAAAAAAAGATTTATTTTTACTTGTGCATGCATGCATGTGTACTTGGTGGCTAAAAGAATGTCAGATCCCATAAAGCTGGAGTTAGAGGCTTTTGTGAGCTGCCCATATGGGTACAGTTGCTTCTCCCTGATCTCCTTACTTCCACTTCAGTCAGTCTGATATTCAGACATAAAGCAAGTAATATCTTGTTTTGCTTAAGACTTAAAAAATTTTAAACTTTATTATGTGTATGAGTGTTTTGCCTGCATAGCTGTAAGTGCACCATGTGCATGCAACGTCCACAGAGGCCAGAAGAGGGCATAGGATGCCCTGGAGCTGGAGTAACGGATGGTTGTTAGCTGCTACGTGGGTGTTAGGAACTGAACCTGGGTCTTCTGCAGGAGCAGTATTCTTAACTTCAGCCCCTGCTTAAGACTTTTCATGCTCTAAGATAAATTTCTTACAAGGACATAATAATATTTATTTGTTTTTATTTTGGTGTTTTGAGACAGGGTTTCACTCTAGTTCAGATAGGCTTTGGACTTGTGATCCTCCTGCATCAGCCTTCCAAATAGCTTGGGATTACAGTCCTTCACCACCAGGCTGGGCTTGACTTACATGATCTTGCTTCATCCCCTCTCCAACCTGATGTCATACTCTTCCTGTATTGATCCTCGTGCTCTGCCACAGCAGCGTCCTGTTGCTCCTGGAACGTCTAAGCTGTGTCAATCTTCTGGGCAGTTTCTCATGTGTCTGTTCAGAGATACCCTTCCCCTGGCTGTGCTTATACAACTCATATGCCATTTGGGTTTTCCCCTCACAGTGGCCTTTTCTGCCCATCTGTTCAGAACTCCTAGAGTGGATGCTCCTGCTTGTTCCATCATGGAACCCATGCCTGATAAATGCTCAACACAGCATCAGTGCCAAGTCCTTATTGAAAGAGTGAATGACTGTATCACCTAACTGTACAAGATCACTTGCCTTCTCTGTTGACATTTTGAGATTACTTAAGATATGGTCTGTCTTTTCTGAGTATGATAGATTCTTTGGTTTGTTGAAATGCTTTGTATGGGGGAGTGAGCACTTGCACCTTTGACCCCACCAACTCATACACCTTTTCTATGGGGAAAGATTTTCATAGCTTTGAGGTCTCTGTACTGGCAGTCAGTGAAATGTGTGACTCAAGATTCTATTGTCAGGGGCTGGAGAAATGGCTCAGAGGTTAAGAGTTCTGGCTGCTCTTGCAGAGGACCTGGGTTCAGTTCCCAGTGCCCATATGGCAGCTAGCAACTGTCCTTAACTCCAGATCCAGGCCATCTGACACCCTCATCTGGTCTCTATGAGGACTGCATGCACATGGTGCACTTACATACATACAAGCAAAACACTCATATACATAAAATAAAAGTAAATAAAATAAAAAATACTTAAAAATGTTTTGTATAGAGGCTGGAGAAGTGGCTCAGCAGTTGAGCACTTCCTGCTCTCCCAGAGATTGCAGTTTGGTTATTGGGCAGCTCATAATCACCTATAATTTCAGTTCCTGGGAATCTACCTCCCTCTTATGGTCTCTGTAGGCACCCACAACACACATGTTGCATACATACGTACATGTATATAGACAAAGACGTACCCATATATAAAAATAAAAATTTTAAGATTTTTTTTTTTTTTTTTTTTTTTTTTTTTTGTCTTTTTGGAGACAGGTCCCCCCTGTAGCCTCAGCTTCCCGGGACCCCACTATTTAGCCCAGGCTGCCCTTGAACTCAGAGCCCCGCCTGCCTCTGCCTCCCCAGTGCTGGGATTAAAGGTGTGCTCCACCACGCCCAGTAAGAATTTTTTTTTTTGGTCTTTTTGTGACAGGGTCTCCCTGCAGCCCCAGCTGGCCTGGAACTCACTCTGTAGACCAGGCTGGCCTTGAACTCACAGAGATCCACCTGCCTCTGCCTCCTGACTGCTGGGACTACAGGCATGCACCACCACGCCTGGCCAAGTAAGAATTTTAAAAAATATTTATTGTTTTTATTTTATGTGTATGAGTGTATTGCCTGAGTGCATATAGGTGTACCCATGTCAGGCCATGCTCACGAAGGTCAGAAGAGGGTGTCAGATCCCCTGGAACTGGCGTTATGGATGGTTGTTAGGTGCATGTGGGTGCTGGGAACTGAACCTGGGTCCTCTCCAAGAGCAAGTCTGTGTTCTTAACTGCTGAGTCATCTCTCCATCTCCCAAAATTAAAATTAGAAAAAGTTAATACTACTTCTAATTTATTATTTTAAAAATTATGTGTAGGAATTCCGTATTTGAATCAGGAGGAAGAAAGGCAGCTGAGAGAACAGTATGATGAAAAACGTTCTCAGGCCAATGGGGCAGGAGCTCTGGCGTATGCGTCCCCTAACACTTCAAAATGTCCTGTGATGATTCCTGAGGATCAGAAGAAGTTTATTGATCAAGTAATGTAAGTTCCTAAACTAAGATCAAATGTGCACTGGGGACACATTGGGCTCTATTTCTCACACTTTGGTGTCATACACAGGGTACCTGCACAGGTGTGACATGAGTGACAGGCCGTAATTTTGGCATATCTAATAATATCTCTCTCTTACACCTACCTGTGCTACCCTGGTGTGTACACAGGTGTGATATGAGTGGCAGGCTCTAATTACAGCATTTGATGATATCTGTCTCTTACACCTGTTACACACAGTGATTCTGCCCGCCCAGAAAACCAGAAATAGGAACAAAAAAGCAAAGAAATATATTGAGATTGCCTGTTTTTTGTTTTTTGTTTTGAGGGTGCTGGAGATGGAAGCCAGGCTTTGTCACGGTAGGCAAGTGCTCTACTACTGAGCGACACTGTAGCCCAATATTTAGACTGTTTTTGAGTAGAACTGTTGAATATTTTGAGTATGATTTTTTTTTTTTGTCTTTTTGAAGCAGAGTCTCCCTGTAGCCCCAGCTGTCCTGGAACTCACTATGTAGACCAGGCTGGCCTTGAACTCACAGAGATCCGCCTGCCTCTGCCTCCCAAGTGCTGGGACTACAGGTATGCGCCACCATGCCTGGCTTTGAGTATGATTTTTGAGTACAGTCATTCCGTTTGATCCCTTCATTCCTTTGCTGATGGTCCTTGTCTGATTCTCATTCCTCAGAGAGAAGATAGAAAGTTTGCTACAGAGTGAAGAGAAGAACCTGGATTTGGAGCCATGCACTGGGTTAGTTGTCTTGCTTGTTTTCATGTGTTCTTTTTGAGAAAAGGGAGATAATTTCTGACATTTGATGCATTTGGTCCTTTTATAGCTTCCTTATGAATGGTCTTCCTGTCACAGGTGCATTCCCTAGACTTAACCACTAACTTTAGCACTGGCACAGTGGGAACAATTGTCTCTTCAGATGATGAATGAATGTGCCATCTGGGTGGAAATCATTTTGCAACTCTGACTTTAGGTTGTGCCCAAGAGCAGCATAATTGCCTTGGCCTGGAGGCATGTTACCCTAGGGACTTTGGAGGAGACTTCAGTCAGCCACTTCTGTTCTTTAAGCTCTTCTCTGCAGGAAGCCTACAGCATTGCCAAGAGTATCAGCATCTTTTTCTCCTTCATGACAAGCTTCACAAGTATTTGAATGTGTCTACTTTAAGCTGTATTCATGAGGCTCCAGGAACTAATATTTTGATCAGATGCGAACTACCTATTCTTTAAAAGCAGTGTAAGGGACTGGAGACCTGGCTCCACAGTTAAGAATACTGGCTCCTCTTGCAGAGGACCCAGGTTTGGTTTCCAGCACCCACATGGTAGCTAACAACCGTCTATAACTCCCATTCCAGGCCATCTGACGCCTTCTTCTGACCTCCACGGGTATTGTACAACACAGGTACACTTACACACATGTAGGCAATATACTCATACACATAGAAAAAATATTTAAAAATAATATAGCTGGGCATGGTGGAGCATGCCTTTAATCCCAGCGCTTGGGAGGCAGAGACAGGTGGACCTCTTTGAATTTGAGGCCTGGCTGGTCTACATAGTGAGTTCCAGGCCAGCTGGGGCTACAGGGAGACCCTGCCTCAAACAAAACAAAACAAAACAAAAGTAATATAATAATATTAAAATTCTCACTTGGGAGGCAGAGGCAGGTGGATCTTTGTGAGTTTGAGGCCAGGCTGGTCTACATAGTGAGTTCCAGCTGGAGCTACAGGGAGACCCTGCCTCAAAAAAAAACAAAACAAAAAAAGTAATATAATAATATTAAAATTCTCACTTGGTTGGCAGAGGCAGGTGGATCTTTGTGAGTTTGAAGCCAGCCTGGTCTACATAGTGAGTTCCAGGACAGCTGGGGCTACAAGGAGACCCTGTCTCAAAAAAAAAAAAACCAAAAAAACCCTAAAATTCTGAAGGAAGACAGTGAGGATGAATCCTCCCAACTCAGAAATTTGGTTTGTTGCCCAATTCTTGTCTTTTCTAGTGAGGATTTTGAATTAAATCATTTCCCAACTTGTGCTTGATCGATTAGGGTTCACTATTTTTGCTTTTGGCCTTTATTTTTTGAGACTGGGTCTCCCTGTAGCCACAGATGGAACTCCCTATATAGAGCAGGCTGGCCTTGGTCTCATAGAGATCTGTCTGCCTCCGCCTCCTGATTGCTGGGGTTACAGGTGTGCACCACCAAGCCCATGTAGGGTTCACTCTTAATGGTCCAAGTTAATACCTTTTCTTTTATTTTATAGGTTCCAAAGAAAACTAATTTATCAGACTTTGAGCTGGAAGTAAGTGTTTGGTTTGTGTGTGAGAGGTCTGTGAAGGACTCATGATTAAAAAACCCGGTATCCTCTTTGGTCTCATTTCTTTCTTGAAGTTTCACGTTGAGATGATTTGACCCTATCAGGTTCCCCTCGTTTCTTAAATGGAATACCTACTTCACTAATTTTTTTGTTATCACTTTAAAAAAAAAATATGTATTTTTATTTTATGTGTGTGAGTGTTCTGCCTGCATGAATGTAAGTGCAATGTGTCATGGAATGCCTGTGGAGGTCAGAAGAGGGTGTCGGTTTCCCCTGGAATTGGAGTTACAGACACTTGTTAGCTGCCGTATGGGTTCTGGGAATTGAAACCCAGGTGTTCTGCAAGAGTAGTTAATTCTCTTAACCGCTGAGCCATCTCTCCAGCCCCTTGTTACCACTTCTTAGTAGATTTTTTAAAAATATTTTATAGCTGGGGGTGGTGACGCACGCCTTTAATCCCAGCTCTTGGGAGGCAGAGGCAGGCGGATCTCTGTGAGTTCAAGGCCAGCCTGGTCTACTTAGTGAGTTCCAGGACAGCTGGGGCTATAGGGAGACCCTGTCTCAAAAAGACCAAAAACAAAAAAATTTTATTATTTTTATGTGTATCTGTGTACTGTCTGCATGTATGTAAGTGTACCAGTGTTGTGCAATGCCCAGGGAGAACAGAAGAGTGTCTCAGATCCCCTGGAACTGGAGTTAGGACAGTTGTTAGCTGCCATGTGGGTGCTAGGATTCGAACCTGGGTCCTCTGCAAGAGTAGTCAGTGTTCTTAACCGCTGAGCCATTTTTCTAGCCCCCTTAGTAGATGTTTTTAAGGTATCTTATAGGCATATGTTTTACACACACACACACACACACACACACACACACACATAGGCTTGCATACAAATTAAAAAAATAATCTTCCAGTGACATGGATACAGGCACTAGTCTTTAAGCAACAGGAAGGGTTGCCTGGCTCCTTTCTTGTCCTGCTATCCTTGCAGCTCACTCTGTGTACTTTCCACATCCCTCTCCTCCTTGGCTGATGCAAACTACGAAGGCAAATTTTGACTCTGCTTTTGTGCCCCATGCTGTCTACAGGGACCTTCAGGACTTTAGTTAGGAAGTAGGCATTATACTAAAGGAAGATATATCTGTGTGGTAATGAGTATATGACTATATTATGGTAATGGTAATGACTATATTATAAGATGCCAAGCATTTTAGAAAGCACTAAAATCCTAAAAATTGATAACATTCCTGTATATTTAAGAGCAAAGGTAGGGAAACATTTAGCTACTAAAATGTTATGAAGCAGGCTTATTGTAAAGTCCATTTTAGTAAAACTTTAGTTTATAGCCACATGGTTGCTCTTAGAATGCTTTGGGTTTCAGCAGCCGTTGACTCATGTATTGATGCAGAGGATGTATCATGTGTTTGTTTTTTCTTTAGGTATCCCAAAGGCATTCATGTTGAGACCTTAGAAACTGAAAAGGTAAGAATTATTCAGTACATTAACTAACAGTAAATGTACCCAGTGATTTACCAACATGTTGTCAGTCAGAATTTTCACCTTTGCTCTGCTTCCTATGAGCTGGTGACTTTGGGCAACTCATTTGTCCTTGAGAGCTTTACCTTGTTGATTTTTTTGTTTTGTTTTTTGTTTTTTTATTTTTGGTATTTGGTCTTTTTTGAGACAGGGTCTCCCTACAGCTCTAGCTGGCCTGGAACTCACTGTGTAGACCAGGCTGGCCTTGAACTCAGAGATCCGCCTGCCTCTGCCTCCCAAATGCTAGTACTAAAGGCATAGCCACCACTCCAGCTGAGCCTCATCTTGTATGTTGGGTCTGGGGATGATGACCATGAGCTGACCAAGTGCTGGGATTAAAGGCGTAAACCACCACCCCTGGCTTGCTCACAGTTTTGTAAAATGATGATTCAGTGGATAAGTGGAAGTGATCTTCTATAATATGGACATGCTCTACAATATATTTTCTTCTTAATTTTACATTTAGTTATTTATTTTGTATGTATGTTGGGGGTGCGGGCATGTGGAAGTCAGAGGACAACTTGTGGGAGTCAGTTCTTTCCACCATGAGGGTTCTAGGTCTTCAGGCTTGGTTGTAGATACCTTTACCTGCTGGACATCTCACTGGCCCCAGCTGTTTGCTTTTTTTAAGATTTTTGTAATTTTTTAAATTTTATTTTATTAAAGACATGGTGGCACAGCCTTTAATCCCAGCACTTGGGAGGCAGAGGAAGGCAGATACCTATGAGTTTGAGACCAGTCTGGTTTACATAATAAGTTCTAGGCTAGCCAGGGCTACATAGTAAGACCTGTCTCAAAAAAATACCATAGAAAGAAAAGGGAATAAAAAAGATTTATTTTTGTGTGTGTGTGTTGGGGGGCAGTACATATGCATGAGTGCCAGTGCCTGTGGAGGCCCAAGGCATTGCATCCCCTGGGACTGGAGTTACGGGTGATTATAAGCAGCCAGACATGGGTGCTAGTACCCAAACTCAGGTTCTCTGCAAGAATAGCAATTGTTCTGAACCTCTAAGCCATCTCACTCCCCTGCAGTGTACTCAATGCATAGAAAATGTGGTATATGGGAAAGAACACTGTAATTATCTAGTTCCTAACTAGAAAGTCCAAGGGTTTTATCAATATGATATGGAAGTTTTATTTTAAAACTAATTATGTAGACATTCATGTTCAAATGCTACATAATCATAGTGCTCATTGTATGAAGTATATTATTCTCAGCCTATTAGTAATTTCAGTGAACATTTACTGATTTGAATTAAGTAAACATGGAGGATATGGAAATGCAGAGGTAAAATGTTGATTTGTAGTGTTTCAACTCAGCTTTGACATTCAGAATACCTTCTTTTTTTTAAAAAAAGTTTAAAATCATTTTATTTTATTTTTAATTATGTGTATATGTGTGTGTTTGTGCCTGTGAGTCATAATCCCTCTGGAGGACATAGGAGGGCATTGGCTCCCCTGGAACTAGAGTAACAGGAGGTTGTGAGCAGCCTGCTGTGGGTTTGGGAACCGAACTCAGATCCTCTGGAAGAGAAGGGAGTGCACTTAACTGATGAGCCATCTCTGCAGCCCCTCAAAATACTTTCTGCTGTGCTTGACTCAGGCCTTGGTATGCATGCATATATGTCTATATCTATCTATCTATATCTCTATCTATGTATACATATATATATATATTTTTGTTGTTGTTGTTGTTTAAATTTTATTTTTTATTTTTTGGTCTTTTGGAGACAGGGTCTCCCTCTAGCCCCAGCTGGCCTGGAACTCGCTTTGTAGTCCAGGCTGGCCTTGAATTCACAGAGATCCACCTGCCTCTGCCTCCTGAGTGTTGGGATTAAACGCATGTGCCCCATATGAAGCCTCACTTTTTTGTTTTTATGAATTCTTTTTGGTTCATTGAGATGGTCTCATTAATTAGTTCAGGCTGGCCTTAAAGTCACTGTGTGGCCCAAGTGGCCTTGAGATCATGATCCTACTGCCTTAGCCTCCTGGGTGCTGTGTTATAATTTTGAATGTTAGTGGAATTCTGACTTTTTGGGGGTCGAGTTGTTTCCAGAAAACTTATCTTCTTTATCTTTTAGAAGGAGCGATACATAGTTATCAGCAAAGTAGATGAAGAAGAACGCAAAAGAAGAGAACAGGAGAAACACACAAAAGAGCAGGTGATTGTGCTTTTCTTATTTCCTTAGATAAAAAGTGAAAACACGTTTGGTTTATTCCTTTCTGTGTATTTCTAGATCACAGTTGTTGGATTCAGTTTATTTTCTCTTTCATTGTATACTGTTATTTGTTAATTTGAAACAGGGTCTCTCAGTATGTAGGTCTGGGTTGGCTCAAGTTTAGAATCCTCTTGCCTGGTGGGATTATAAGAGTGTTCTACCATGCCTGTTATGTTAGACTCAATTTAATGAATAGTTACCTATCATTGAAGAATTGAATTGGTAGAAAAACCTGAACTAGAATAAGGGGAAGTTAGCCTGGGTGTGGTGGCACATATCTTTAATCTCAGCACTCAGGAGCAGAGGCAGGTGGATCTCTGTGAGTTCAAATCCAGCCTGATCTACATAGTGAGTTCCAGGCCAGCTGGTGCCACAGGAAGATCCTGTCTCAGAAAGACCAAAAAAAAGAGAAAAAAGCCAAATTTGGTGGTGCACACTTGTCATCTCAGTACTGCGGAGGGGGAGACAGGTAAGTCCCTAGGGCTTACTGGCCAACCTGTTTGGTGAACCCCAGATTCCAGTAAGAGACCTTGTCTCAAAAAATAAGGTGGATGGCTCTTAAGGAACAAACTCAAGTTTGGCCTTTGGCCTATGCATGTACCTACACACATGTGATCTTGTATACCTGTGCACACATGAAATTGTAGGCATCCTCATGTGCATATAAACATAGCCAAAAAAATCTGATATCATGGTTGGCTAGTCTCACCTTAATTGAAGTAGACTTGGAAAAAGTCTACTTGGAACTGAAACTGTAACTCAGTGGTAGAACACTTGCTTAGCATGTATAAGACTTGAGTTCAATTCCCAATTCTTAGCAAAGAAGGTGGATGCTTTTGGTTGTTGTTTCTGAGACAGAGTCTCATGTGAAGCTTAGGTAGGCTGGTCTTGAACTCCTGATCCTCCAGCCTCTACCTTCTAAGTGTTGACATTACAGTATGTGCCACCACTATGGCTACAAAGTTGTTCTTGATTATCACCTGGGTATGTGCCAATATGCTTCATTGCCATTAGTGGACATGGCTAGGTTTAACTCTATACAGTTTAATAGTTTTACTATGACAAAGTTCAGAGCATGTGACTTGACTCACTAGGGTGATATGGTCATATTTGTCTTGTTGAAACTCACCCGGTTGTTGTATGAATAGATTTAGCAAGATTTGTGGCAGGGAGCCCAATTAAGCTGTAGCCTGGTTAAGAAATGTTGGTGACCAGGAATGAACGAGTTAGGAGCAATATGGGTGGACTGGAGGTCCTTGGAAGGAAGATGGCATCAATGGAATTTGCGTGGGTGTGGTTGGAGAAGGATGACACTCTAGCCAGAAGTTTGAGTGACTGTGAAGACTGTAATCAGTTCACTCAGATGGGGTAATATGGAGTGATCTTGGCAACCACAGATGGAGGAGACCAGGAGCAGGTGTGGGCATAGTGAGTGTTAAGGGCCCTATGTAGTTATGTACTGACCAACTTGATCAGTAAAGATACAGTGATCCACTTTGAAATTTAGATAACTTACTCCTTACAGAGGAAAGAAGCTGAACTAAAAATGCGAGCTGCCTGTGTTCTGTGTCCCCACACCAAAAAGAACAACACTGAACAAAAAGCGAGATGACTTCAAGTGGTCTGTGGAATAACCATTACTGTGGAACTGGTTCTGACTGCAGCTCAGCGCTTTTGTATTCTGCACCTCTAATCTAAGGGGACTGGGACTGAAATCCTACACCTCTTTAGAACCCTGGGGAAATGAGGAACTCTGTCATGACAGTCCTTCAAGAGCTATAGGGGTGGGTGGGAGGTGGCCTCATAGCAGCTTTTGCCACCCATCCTCTCTGGCCTTCTACCAGGACACAGACCAGTGTTTGCCTGCATAACATAGTTGGATGTGTGCAAAGCTATCAGGATACCATGCAGAAGTGGAAAAGATGGTCCATTCTGATTTTGATCCAGTGAGGTTTTAGGTACTTTGGGACATCTGTGGTAGATATCCTATTGGCTGATTTGTCATGTGTGAGCACTAGAGAGAAGTGATGGCTGGATGTGGTGTTCATGGCAGAGACTGCATGTGCATCAGAGAACAGAGTGTGCCTGAGAAGTGAGCGAAGACCTCTAGTCTTCGCTCTAGTACAATCCTGAGGACATGGGTTTAACTGGACAAGTGTGTAAGGGATGATTGTGACATAGACAAGGGATGAGCATGGCTGGAGAAGGGGGCTGACATGTCATGTAGTCGCGGGATGCTGGGGTAAAGACTGAAGCTAGAGATTTGTTGTTGTTAATAAGCTTGTAACTGCTTTTTAGTTTAATTGTGGTAAATCACAAATAACACAAAAGTCCCTATCTCAACCATTTTCTTTTAAAAAAATTGTATTCATTATTATTATTAGTTTGTATATGAGTGTTTTCTTTATTTTCCATCTTTAAAAATATCTAGGGGGCTAGAGAAATTGCTCAGAGGTTAAAAGCACTGACTGCTTTTGCAGAGGACCTGGGTTGGAATCCCAGCACCCACATGGTGGCTAACTATCCTTAACTCCAGTTCCAGGAGATCCGATGCCCTTTTCTGATCCCCAGGGGTATTGTATGACATGGGTGCACTTACATACATGCAAGCGATACACTCATATTACACCAGGCGTGCCGTAGTCCAGCACTTGGGAGGCAGAGGCAGGCGGATCTCTGTGAGTTCAAGGCCAGCCTGGTGTACATAGTGAGTTCCAGGACAGCTGGGGCTACAGGGAGACCCTGCTTCAAAAAGACAAAAAAATTATTTATTTAATAACCACATAATTAGAAGAAGCATTTCATTACAACAGCATCGACATATTCAATAACAATTTCTAGAGCTAAGATGCATCTCTTTCAAAATTGGCTGTAAATTTTTAGGTTTACAGTTGAATTAATACAGTTAAACAATATTGTATTCAGTATAAACTATAAGATATTAAATGTTTTAACCTTTAAAAAAGATCTCCATTTGATTATTAAAATACAGTTTCATACAGAAAAATTCATTTTTAATTCAATTAACACTAAAATGTTTGCACATGCGTTTCTAATCTCTCTGTAGCTGATTATTACTAGTCATAGTCGGTTACTTTCTGAGATCCTTGGCATCTGAGATATAAAATCATTGGGTAGATTTCAGTGGTAATGTGCTTCACCTCTACTAATTAACATGGAGTAAATTTTTATGCTTCCTCCTCAAATATGTCTTTTTTTTTAATTTATCGATTTTTTTTGTGTATATCATACAGAACATCCCACACAATCTTATTCATCTATATACCCACTTCCTAAATGAGACCCTCCCATAGCCCCCCACCTCCCACACACTGGAGCCCATATACACTGTCATCCCTGTTACTGTCCACTGTGTTGTTGGCACCCCCAGCCTTTCCCCAGTGCTTGTCCATCTGCTGAATCTAGTCAGCCTATCTAGAGAGCCTTGTTTTAGGAAGATCAGCTGTTCCTCATCTAGCAGCAATCAGTTGTCAATAGTCCTTTAGATAAGATTGGAATCTGCTGTTCATTTTTCTAGTTCTATGCTGGGTTACTGTCTGACTTGAATCCTTAGTACCTGAGTATGGATATAAAGTCATCAGGTAGAGTTCACTGGTAATGTTTATCACCTCTGCTGTTTAATATGAAGTAAATTTTTATGCTTCCTCCTCAAATATAAGCCTTTTTTAAAAAAATTGGTTGATTTTTCTGTGTGTATATCATATAGAACATCCCACACAATCTTGTTCATCTATATACCCACTTCCCAAATGGCACCCTCCCATAGCCTCCCACCCCCCACACACTGGAGCCCATATACTCTGTCATCCCTGTTGCTGTCCACTGTGTTGTTGACACCCCAGCCATTCTCCAGTGCTTGTCTGTCTGCTGAATCTAGTCAGTCTGCTGAATCTGATCTATCTAGAGAGCCTTGTTTTAGGAAGATCAGCTGTTCCTCATCTAGCAGCAATCAGTTGTCAATATTCCTTTAGATAAGATTGGGTTCTGCTGTTCATTTTTCCAGTTCTATGCTAGGTTACGGTCTGGGAGTCTCTTGTGCTACCTTGGCCAATAACGCAAAGGAAGGTATCTCCTGCCTGGCATTGTTTCTTGTTATATAGCCTTTAGCTATGTATATGGACTCTTAAAATTTATATTGACCCCATTAATCTTTGGTTATACTTTCCTTTTGGGAGTTTAAGACCCTACAGTTGGCCCAGATAAAACAGTTTATTTTCAATCTTAAGGTCCTTTGAGGATCTGTTCCTCAGGGGTAACATGTGCTTGGGAGGAGCCCCTGGCTCCTTTCTTTTACCACTTCTGCCTATGTGAAGATAAGTCAAAGGTCCTGCTCGACCATGGCTGGCTTCACTTGGAAGCATGG